ACGAAAACATATTTGTATTTTGTCCTAATAAATGTGCATATTTATAATAAAAATACAAATTAAAGAGCTAGCTAATCACTTATTTCCTACTACTAGTTAATCAAAAATTAAATGAATTAAGATTAATATCAATTTTAAAGTGTATAATTTGTTGTCAGAAAGTATTTAATTTTTTTTAAATCAATAAAAACCCATTTATATTATTTAGAGATGGAAAAGAATCGAGGGAGAAAACCAAAAACATTAAAAACAGATCTATTAAGCAAAAAATTGAAGTGAGAAAAGACAAAAACCAACTGTGTATAAAGCCGAAAGAGACGATGGACCCATAAAAGGCCGAACCTCCACTTCTATTCTTTCTATATAATTCCCATAATAACTCAAAATAAAAACCATTTCTCAAAGTGGTAGACCCTTTTCCTTCATCATTTCTCATTTTGTTCCCCTTTGACACTCTTCACTTCAACAATACTTCACATCATATTGGCCTTTTATTTCGTTACGTTAAGCTTTTTTTAATCACGAATAATCCATACCAATCCGACTAATTTTCCATATAAATATAGCCTTTGATAGATCGTTTACGAATTTACTAAAAGTTTAAAGTGTGACACTATTTTCAATTATTGTTTCGTCATACATAGAAATTAAACACAAAATACGTTAGTGCCATGACCCCAAATCTTTGACAACCTAACCATTATTGTTAAAATTACTACTAATTTTTGTTTACATATATAATTATTTACCACACTGTTACATTATTAACTTTTAAAAACAAAAATGATCACTCGTATTATAAAAATTAATTAAAAGTGTAATATCGATCTCAAGTACAAATACGACTCTATATCATAAAAGTTTATACACTACTAAACGAACTACAACCGCAACAAATGAGGTCATCAATAATAACCTATAAGGAGTAAGAGCATGATCAACGTTGGTTTTTAGTGGGTTGCTTAGTATTTAAAACCAATTAAATAATAAACTGATCAGTTATTATTGATAACACCGGTCCTAATTTTAGCTCTTATAGAACTCC